GTCTCAACTAAATCTATACCCTAAGGAAGATTATTTTGGCACAGGCAAGAAGGATAGACAGGGAGTGGGAATGGGGGAGGGTGACATAGACGCCATTGCAATTGTCCAGGTGGGTGGTAATGAGAGCCTGTGCTAGGACTGTTGCACTAGAAATAGAGAGAAGGCAATGAATTTGAGGTTTGCAGATTTAGAATTGATAGGACTTGGCAGCTGGTAAGATCTGGGTGAGGGAGAAGGAAGAGTCTAAGGTAATCCCACTGCTTCAAACACAGGAGACTGGGTGAATTGTAATGCTATTAGCAAAAATAATGAAGTCAGAACCCCAGAATTTGGGAGTTCATCTAGTCTAATTTATGCACAAAACAATACAAACTATACCTGACTACTGTTGTCTAAGAGTTCCAAGGAGGGGAGCCTATCAACTCTTAGTGAAGCACTCATTTCACTTCTGGGGCTGATAAACAGTATTGATGCCTTAGGCTGAAACTTTGTCCCAAGCTGGGAAATTTGCCTCAGGGTGGAAAATAAAGAGGATTCAGACAGCACTTGTGTTTTTCCATGGAAAAAGGTAGGGGCAAAGAAGGAGTAGAGGAGGAAAGGGAAGTGGACTTAATGACATGAAGGTAAGAATCCCGAGGAGTTGTTCCATAGGGAGGACCAGGTCTATAGAAACTCCAGCTTTCGTCTTGGTCAAGGATGAATAGAGGACAGGGAGGAGCCTGGGGTTAACAGGTCTGAATCTTAGCCAGACTTAGCCATACAGAAAGTGTACGTTTATTTAGTCCCATTTAGGCTCATGCCTCTTAGACCCAGGCCCTTGCTTCGCTAGAAGAGCCTACTGGGACGTCTTTCTTGCTGAGGGTGAGCTGGGCCCAGGAAGGATGAATGGTTCCCCTTTTACTGCTTACTTATTCATTCTGCGTCATGAGACCAGGGAAAGGTCAATGACCCCTTTTCTCAGCAACTTGACTTGAAAGAGGTCTGGACTGTGAGTGGAAAAACCTAGATTCTTATTTCTGCTCTGAAACCAACTCTGGATGTGAGTTTCCTCCTTTGTAAAATGAGGGGGTTGGACAAGGTATCTTCTAAAGTCCCTTCCAGCTTTAACCACCTATGAATCTATGAAATTTGACCTCTGTATGACACCACCTCAGCTCAGCTCCAAATTTAGCAAGTCTGGAATAAGTCCTCCTCTGTGAACTTAGGGGTGAGTTAATAACCTTCTTTGGGACCTCAATTTCCTCTTCTGTAAAATAAAGGAGGACTAGACCATCCTTAAGTTCTCTTAGAATGCTAACATTTTGTTATGCTACTTGGGATTTTCTGAAGAGAGAGGAAGAATTGGCTTTAAGCTCCGTTTCGTACATCTCCCCAGAAGTATTCATCTCTTTTCTGTAATGATTACCATTCCAGCCCTCCTCCTACCTTCCCACTCCCCAATAATTAGATTTCTCAGATAACTGATAGGGAAGGAACAACTGTCTTTATCACTTGGTAATAAAATACATTAGTTAAAATAGGAAGCTACCAGACGGACTGCTTCCTCTCCCCTGAGAGGTGAGGAAAATCCACAGAAGCAACAGCCTTGTGATAACAGGGTCTCAGGGTCTCTCCTGACCTATGGTGTCTGTTTCTACTACTACTACTCCAATTGAGGGGTCTTTCCGGCCATGTGGTAGAGTGGGAAACATGTTGTGGTGATTACCCCCCAAGTGCAAAATTTCTAGCTATGGCTCTTCAGAGAAAGAATAGTTATAGGATAAAGATTAGTTTAATTTTGGACATGTGATGTTTGAGACACTAGGGGGACATCCAGGTGGAGATGTCTTTAAACAGCCAGAGATGAAAGTCTGGAACTCCAACGGGAGGTCAGGGCTGGCTCGATATGTAGATTTGGGCATCATCTGCATGGAGCTAATTGTTGAAGTTGTGGGTGTAAGTGAAATTATTTCAGGAGAGAGTAAGGATTTCTCATTTATAAAGTGTCTACTCTGCCAGGCACTGTGCTCAATGCTGGGAATACAAAGAGGAGCAAAAGCAGATCTTGCCCTCCAGGAGCTCACAATCTAATGGGGGAGACTACATGTGAACAACTATGTACAAGCAAGATCTACATAGGATAAATTAGAGATAATCAAAAGAGAGTAAGCATTCAGCATCAAGGAGGATCAGAAAAGGTCTATTACAGAAGGTAGGATTTTAATTGAGGTTTGAAGGAAACCCAGGATGCCAGGAGGTAGACATAAGGAGGGAGCAAATTCCAGGCATGGGTGACAGCCTTTGAAAATGCTCTGAGTCAAGAGATGGAGTGTCATGTACAAGGAACGGCAAGGAGGTCCCTGTCACTGAGTCACAGAATTCATAGTGGAGGCTGGGGAAGGGAGAAGAATAAGGTGCAAAATGACTGAAAAGGTAAGAAGGGGTCAGGTTGGGACGGGCTTTAAATGCCAAATGGAGGATTCCGTATTTGATCCTGAAGGCAATAGGGAGCCGTTGAAGCATATTGAATGGGTGTAGTATTGGTGTAAGTGTGACCTGAATTCTGGGAAGATCACTTTATCTTTAGGTAACTGAGTGGAGGATGGATTGGAGTGGGGAGAGACTTAAGGAAGGGAGATCAACATGCAGGCTTTTGCAATAGTTCAGGAATGAGATAATGAAGACCTTCACCAGGGTGGTAGCAGTATCAGAGGAGAGAAGGAGGCACATATGAGATGTTGAGAAGGTAAAATCAACAGGACTTAGCAACAAAATGGATGGGGGGGAGGTGAGAGAAAATGAGGAGAAAATCTATCTCAACAGGCTGATAAGGGAATGAGGGACCAACATAAGGAGACAGAGAAGGAGATGTTACAAAGGTAGGAGGAGGTCTCAGAGACTGCTTTGTCTCTAAAACTAAGAAAGGATCCAAAAGAAGTAGACGGTCGACTGTGTCAAATGGTACAGAGAAGTGAAGGGGAGGCAAAGCATCATCTCAGGAATGAGCAGGTAACTGGCGACCTTTGAGACAGCTATTTCCATAGAGTGGTGGAGACAGAAACCACATGACAAGGGGTTGAGGGCAGAGTGGGTGGTGAGGAAGTGGAAGCCTCTGGTATAAACAACTTTTTTCAAGAAGTTTGGCTCTGAGTGAAAGAAATGAGACCATAGTTAGATGAAGCAGAACGGTCAAAAGAAGACTTTTTTAAGGATGGGAAACCTGAGAATTTTTGTAAATGGATGGGAAGGAGCCTATGGAAAAGAAAAGAGTGAGAATTCTTGAGAGAAAAAAACCGGCTGGAGCAAGGTCCCAGAGAAGGCAGGAAAGTGGGTCACAGAAAAGCTATGGTGAGGAAAGGGACAGATTCTTTTTCATGTGAAAAAGGGAGCTTAAATCACAATCAGTAGGCAACAGGGAGCCACTGATGATTTTTGAGCAAAGGAGTGACCTGACCTATACATGTTGAATATTATTTTGGCACTGGTATTCCTACCCTACTCAAAATCTCTTTCATCTACTCTAGATGCAGCCCCATCTCTAGCCCACATTAGAGAGATTTCTGATTAACATATGAGATAGTACTTTTTTGGGGGGGCATTTATTCTTTTTCAGCACTTTGTATTATCTGGTCTACTTCTTTCTTCCACATTCTAGAGTAATTTCTTAATTTTTAGGCTAGGTATATGCTGTTTGCTTGCTCTTATTACTTATTATTTGCTTCTGTTAACTTTTCAGAAAGAAGAATATCAAGTCCATGGGGCATATTCTTAGGCCAGGCTAGTTAACCTGACTTAGGAATCAGGAATTTTGTGGGGGCCATAGCACATTCATTTGGTAGCTCATCCCAAGTCAGTAATTGAAATCTAATCTCTTAAAGTGACAGGCTTCAATATGTCTCAGTGGCTTTGCCCCTGGCTCTCTTTAGCCTAATCTTCTGCTCTTTTAATCTTGCTTCTAATGAAAAACTCAATCCCAGAATACACTGGAAAATGAGATTTTGAAATGAAAGTATTCTATCTTAGTCACAAATAGTAATAGCTTATCACAGTTCTTTACCATTTCCAAGCACTTTTCCTCATTTTATACGTATGTATGTGTGTAACTGCTGCTTTCCCAAGTGACCTCCTTGTGGGTAGGAACAGTTTTGTTTTTACCTTGTTGTCTCTAATACCTCATACTGTTTCTGGCGCATAGTAAGGACTTAAATGCTTGTTGATTGATTGAAAGTCCTGTGAGGAAGTTGGTACAAAATTCACTCTATAAATGAGGGACCTGGGGCTCAGAGCAAGTGACTAACTCAGGATGCCACAGCTTGTAAGTGACCAAGGTAGGACTAGAAGCCCTGGCTTCAGATTCTGTCCGAGGCTCTTTGCACTAATAGGTAACATAATGCTCCTTAGAAATTGTAGAAGAGTCCTCTCAATGTGAAACATGTCATTAGCATTATACTTATTTCCTGAGAATTTGGTGCTGTACTAGATGAAACACTCTGCATTCGGTAGAAGGGCTAATTTTACAGGCAGTGATAAACACATTTTGAGTCTTAATTTGACTTCTCTCTTAAGACCTCAAGCTAATTAGAATCACAGGACCTAGTCCTCCCACCTCATTTTACAAAAGAGAAATGTGAGGCCCAGGGAAGTAATGTGACTTGACATAAGATCAATTAGAATCATAACATGTTAGCATTGGAAGGAACTTTAGAGATCATATAATTCAACCTCCTTATTTTACAATGGAAGAAACTATTTGATTTACTTCCTCCTCAGTCCCTCCTTTTTGAATGCCTAGTTTCCTTAAAGGCTCAGTTGATATCTCATGTCCTGTTTGTGGCTTTTCCTATTCCCTGTCTCAGTTCCAGACCCTTTCTGGTGCCCCTCCCCTTTATGTCCCCTAATTACTTTTTAATATATTTTATATTTACTTAACTGTGTATATATTATTCTCTCCCTGCCATTCCCAACAGAGTATCAACTCCTTGAGGACAAGGAAGGAAGTTAAGTAATTTGGCTGAGCTCACCTGTCAGAGGTAGGGCTGGAAGCCAAGTGTCCAGAATCCCAGGCCAGTGCACTTTCATGATGTCACTTACTATAGTGACCTTTGTCCACAAGAGTGAGATATGTGCTTCTCAGTTGTCACATAGACCTCTCAGTTAGCATTTTCAGGATACTGCCAAGAAGGGCCTAACTGGAGAGAGAGGCAGGCAAAATATAAGACTGCTGAATACGGGAGATATTTCCTATCTCTAGGAGGAGTATTTGGCTAGACATATCTGTTTGCCGCTCCTCAACTATTTCTAATCTAGGGATACCGTTCTAAGGCATTCAGAAGGAAAAACACTTCCCTCATCATTCTCAAAAGGAGAGGGCAGCCCTCAGCTTTTCCTCCATCATTTTGTTCCCTCCTACCAAATGCTGGTTACACAAAAGACTATTACAAATAGTGAATATCAGGTAAACCCATTTATCCGGGCAAAACTGAAGTTGGGAAGTCATATAGGCAGATAAGGATATAGAATACGGTGAAGTTATATAGATTAAAACAAAGATGATAATGAAAAAGTTATTCCACTAGGAATAAGATAAAACACCTCAGCACAAACCAGGAGGGAAAGAATGATCTCACTAAGAGGAGATGGCGAGTGTCTAAATTCTACTAGTGTTCTCTAGAGTTGCAAAGGAAGTCAAAGGGCATGGGTGTGTATGGGGGGGGCAGATTCCATTACTCTGTCCCAAGTGCTCCCAGGAGTCATTCAAAGTTCACATCTAGACTCCCTTGGCCTGTCTCTTTTGAGGGTCTCTTTCCCATACATCTGTCTAACAAAAGGTATGCAACATTTTACTTTCAGTTTTTTCTCAGGCAATCCCGAGTCAAATCTCCTTCTGCATACAGTTTCACAGAGCTGTCTCTTAGAAAATCCATCCCAGGTTTGGGTGAAATTGGACTTACAAAAACACTGGCTCCTAAGTATGACACACTACATGAGCATGCACTGCCCAGGAAACTGCCAACTACAATACCTAGGTGTTGCAGTGGTTAGAGCACTGGGCCTAGAATTAGGAATAATTCTACTTTTCAGCTGGACTGAAGCACTTTTACAACCCATCTCCCCTACCTACAGGACTCCTCATTCCACTCCCTAAACCTATCATCCTCTTCTCCCCTTACCATCTCCCTCCCCTCCACCCTCATTACTCAGAAATTGGCTCAGAAATTCACATCCCTTATCACCCCTGTTCCTGCCCCCCCCCCCATTGGGCACTTGGAGGACAGACATTGGAGACTTCTTCTCAGATCCTCCACACACTATTTAGAGAGGGCACACAGGGTCTCTTCATTTCCCACTTCCCTGGACTTCATCATCTCCAAAAACTCAGCATTTGTATGTTGAAATCAACTCAGAAATCTTCACCTCCTCCAACCATTTCCCACCAACTGTATGGCTTCATCACTCCCCTACGTATAACTTCTCCCCTTATACCTTTTTAACTGTTTTATGTGTTATCTCCCTACTTAGACTGTGAGCTCCTTGAAGGCAGATATTATCTTTCTTTATATCTTCAGGGCTCAGCAGGGCAGTTAATAGGTGCATAAGTTAATGTTTATTGATTCTATTGACTCTGATCCCATTCCCCATCTACCTGAGGAAGCTATGCTTATTCCTTAAAGTCCAACCAAATGCCATCTTATTCAGGAGGTCTTCATTGATTAGTAATGATTTTTTTCTACCTTGACTTTCATATTCCAATCAAGAGTTAATCAATTAATCAACATTTACTAAGCATCTTCTGTATACCAACCACTGTCCTGGCTGTTGGGGATACAAAGTCAAAAATGAAGCAGCACTCACCCTCTAGGAGAATATATTTTAGTTAGGGAAAATAGTATGCAAACATAAATGTAAATACAAATTAAATAATACTTTAAAAAAGTAATTTGGGAGGTTGGTAGTAGCAACTGGGGATGTCAGGAAAGGCCTCATATAGGAGAGATCACTTGGATTGGGTTTTGAAGGGAGCTAAGAGGCAGAGGTGGTAAAAGTTTAGTGCCAGCACAGAGGTAGCCTATACAAGTCAATTCAAATCAACAAGCATTTATTAAGCACTACTATCTCCCAGGCAGGGTAGCTAGGTGGCAAAGATAGAGTGCCGGTCATGGAGTCAGGAAGACATCTTCCTGAGTTTAATTCTCAGACATTTACTAGCTGTGTGACCCTAGGCAAGCCACTTAACCCTGTTTGCCTCAGTTTCTTCACCTATAAAATGAGCTGGAGAAGGAAATGGCAACCACTCCAGTATCTCTACCAAGAAAACCCCAAATGTGGTCACAAAGAATCAGACGTGACTGAAAAAACAACACATATGAAATGTATGTCACACAGACATCTTAAATGTCTGTGATATGTCTGGATATGTCTGTGATATGTCTGGATATACAAAGAAAGGCAAAAAAACCCAGTCCCTTCTCTTAAGGAGTTCATAGTTTAATAAAGGAAACAACACACAAACAGTCTATAGAAAGGATAAAGTTGAAGATAATTTTAGTGGGAAGACACAAGCCATAAGGGAGATTGGGTAAGGTTTCTTGAAGGGGGTGGGGTTTTACCTGGGACCTGAGGTAAGTCAGGGAAGCCAGGAGGCAGAGATGAAAAGGGAAAGAGTTTCAGGCAAGAGGGATAGCCAGTGAAAAGGCTGAGAGTCGGGAAAACCAGTGTCCTGTTTGAGGAACAGCACAAAAACTAGTGTGGAAGGGAACAAGATGGAAGAAGACTGGAAAGGTAGGAAGGAGCCAGGTTAGAAGGGCTTTTAAAGCCATGCATAGGATTTTATATTTGATCCTAGAGGTAAATTGGGAGCCACTGGAAAGCATTAAATGTTGTGTGGGGCTTGGGGTGCGGAGGGGATAATGGTCAGACTTCTGGTTTAGGAAAATCACTTTGATAGCTGAGTGGACAATAGATTTGAGTGGAGAGACTCAAAACAGGGAGACCAACCAGAAAGTTATTGCGATAGTACATTAGGGCTCACACCAGTTTCAGAGGAGAGCAGGGGGTGTGTACAAGAAAAGTTGCAGTGACTGAGCAAGTTGTGGTATATGATTGTGATGGAATACTACTGTGCTATAAGAAATGACGAGCCCGTAATCTTAGAAAAATATGGATAGACTTGCACGAAATAACGGAGAGTAAAATGAGCAGAACCAAGAGAATGTTGTATACAGTAATATTGTTTTAAGAACACCTTTGAGTAAATAAGTCATTTCAACTATCATAAATACCCAAATTAACTACAAAGGGTATGTGAAGGAAGACATTGTCTGCATCCAGAGAAAGAACTGATAAATAGAAGTATGTATAGATTGATTTTACATATATAAACATATTTGTGTCTGATAGTAGCAATCTCTAGAGCCAGGGAGCTGGGGAGGGAAGAAAAAAGGAAAATAAAGAAGAAATTTACATGATAATTTTATTATATGTTTAAAAGGAATAGCAATTGTACATAATAGATTTGTAGTTTCATGTGCAATTTTATTATACTATGTTATGGAAATGCTTGTTTTATTCCATAAATTAAAAATAAAATAAATAAAAAATTTTAAAAAGAGAGGTGTGGCAAAGGTAGTATTGACAGGACTTGGCAACTGATTGGACATGGTGGGCAAGAGAGAAAGGAATTAAGGATAACAGCTATGTTGCGAGTCTGGGTGACTGGGAAGATAGTTCAACAATAATAGGAAAGTTATGAAGAGGAGAGAGTTTTAGGGGAAAAGATAATGATTTCAGTTTGGGACATATGGAATTTAAGATGTCTAGGTGACATACATTTCAAGATGTTTAATAGTTGTAGATGTGAAACTGGAAGTGTGGAGAGAGATTAGGCCTACTTAAATAGAGTCATATGTACCATAGGAACAGATGGGATCACCAAGAAAAATAGTATAAAGGAGGAAGATAAGAGGACTTAGGACAGAGTCTTAGCTAGTGGGCATGATCCAGATGAAAATCCAGCAAAGACTGAGGAGTGGTCAGAGAGGTAGGAGGAAAACTAGGAGAGCAGGGACATGAAACTCTAGGTATCCAGAAGAAGGAAAGTCACAGTGCCAAAAACATGGAGAGAAAGGCAAGTAGAAAATGCATGGAATGTTATTTTACAGAATGACAAATAGGCTGCTTTGTCTGAAAAGTAAAGTGCATAAGGAAGAATAGGGCAGTTTGGTACAGTGGATAGAGGGTGAAGCCTAGAGTCAGTAAGACCAGAGTTCAAATCTGGCCTCAGACACTTACTAGCTGTATGACCCTGAGCAAGTCACTTAACCCTGTTTGCCTCAATCTCCTCATCTGTAAAATGAGCTAGAGAAGGAAATGGCAAACTACTCTAGTATCTTTGTCAAGAAAACCCCAAATGGGGTCACGAAGAGTCAGACACAGCTGAAAACAACTGAATAATAACAAGGAAGAAAAATGTGCAATAAGTCTGTGAAGTTAGGCTATAGCCAGACTGCGAAGGGCTCTGAATACTAAACGGTTTGTATTTTATCCTAGAGGTAATAGGGAGCCACTGCAGATTTTTGAGCAGAGGAGTTATGATCAGGCCTGTTCCTTAGGATATACTTTGATAGTTATATGAAAGATGAATTGCAGACTGGAGAGACTGGAAACAGGGAGATTCATTAGGAGTTTAGTTCAATGGTGTATTCAAGAAGTGATCCAAGGGTCTGTCTAGAGTGGCAATCTATAGAGGAAGGGAGGGGTGTGAAAGCTGTTACAGAGGTGGAATCAAGACTTAGAAACTGATTGGATGTGTGGGGTGAGTGAAGGATGAGTGAGACTGCAAGTCAGTATTATTTGAAAGATGTTGCTGCCTTCAACAGAAGTAGGAAGGGTTTGGGAGAGAAATATGATGAGTGTTAGTTTGGACATGTTAAACTTGAGTAGGAAATGTCCAACAGGCATTTGGTGATGTGGGACTGGAGACCAGGAAAGTGACTAACACGTTGGTTATATCTCTTTTATCTACATATGAATGATTTTGTATTATAACTCAAAGATTTAGAGATTAGGGGGGTCTTGGAGACTACCTACTCTAACCAGCTAGCTCCCTCATTTATTTTTTAACTGAGACCTTGAGAGGGTAAGGGACTAGTGTAAGGTCACACAGGTAGTATGTGGAAGAGCTGGGATCTGA